GGCAGGCTTGGGCTTTAAATTATTTTTACTGCTGGGCATGGTGGTACCTGTGGTCCCAGCTACTCAGGAGGCTGAGGGAGGGGGATTGATTGAGCCTAGGAGTTCAAGGTCAATCTGGCCAACATAGTCGGAACCCATCTCAAAGAAAAAACAAATAGCATGTGCCTCATTCCTGGCTAGACTGAGGTAGTGGGATCTTTGATGTTAGAGTTCAGTTGTCTTGGGTCCTACCCTTGATTTTTCTTACACCTTGGTTTAGCAACCCTTGTTTTTGTGTGAGTCTGAAGACATATTCTCAATCCCCACAGGTCAGAATTATGCATTTATTGCAGAATCTGTAGAGTCCAGCTTGGCAGTAACCTCCACCTCCAACATTATCCTCAAGGTCCTCTGGCCTAGCTGCTAGAGACCCCTTGACTGCTAATCCAGCAGTTTCCAGGAGTCATTTCCTGATCTGTCTGCTGCACTTGCTGCGGGACTCTCCTCCTCTCCTGAGTTGCTTCCTACCTCTTTCTGTCTGTCTTTGTCTTCTCCATAATTATGCATTCTGCAGCCTTCCCTTCTATGTTGGTGTTCTGCCCTTGACCCTGTTACCCTCATTCTACATATGGGGAATCCTGGATGATCTTTCTTCACTCTTATCACCTTCTCCTCCTCCTCTTCCTTTTTTTTTTTCACATAGGATCTGTCAGCCTCCTCCTCCTCCTCCTCCCTTTTTTCACATAGGATCTTATGCTTTGGCCTGAGTCAGCCTGGGACCAAGCTCCTCCTACCCCCACCTCCCAAGTAGCTGGGATGATAGGCATGAGCCACTGTGCCTGGTTACTGTCAGGCATCTTAATCTCTATTTCCAGCTCCAAACTCTCTTGATCGCTGGACTCAACTGCCTACTGTACCACTGTCTTCAGAAGATTCCAAAACATTGGGACTCCTACAATCCAAAATTCCACCAATCACTTTTCCTTAAATGTGTTTCTCCATTTGTATTATTTATTTAGTGAGTGACATCATCAGTTATCTGATTATTGAAACCAGAAACCTGGGATCAACTTGACTCTTCTTTTTTTTTTTTTTTTTTTGTTATTCTAACTACCACCATTTTATTACAACACAGTTTAATGAGACACTTATTTTAGACAATATGCTGGACAAGAATGTTACCATTTGATTTTTTAATTATCAACAAATTACATTTTTTCTTATGGCTTTGGGGATTGAACCCAGGGGCTTGTTTATACTATGCAAGCTACCACTTGCTACATGTATATATATATATATATATATATATATATATATATATATATATATATATATATACATCTCCTTAGGCCCTCAACTTGACTCTTCTGTTCATTTCACATTTCTAATTATTACTAGGTCACATTAATTCTGCATTCTAAAGTTTGCTGCTTACCATTTTTGCCTGAGTTTTTACAATAGGTTCCTAACTGTTTTCTCTGGACTTTAATGATCTGGCAATTTCCTATAAGTTGCATCAGGCTGGGAATTCCTGTCTGTTTGCTCATGCTTTTCCCCAGTGCCTGGAACAGCCCCTGGCACACAGTGGGCACCCCTATGAGTGAAAGTATAAGTAATGTCAGTAGGCCACCTTTCTGGTCTCACTCCCCTCATAGGCATGATCTTCACTCAGAGCCCTACTTAAGTGCTTAGATTTCTGAGTGAGTTAGGTCTTTGTGCATTTTGTTCCTTCTTTCTGCACATGGTAGGCCTACTGGTCCTTTAAGACTCTGATGCAGCATGGTGGTACACATGTATAATGCCAGAACTTGGGAGGCAGAGGCAGGAGAATTGCAAACCTGAGGCCAGCCTGGGCTACACAGTGAGTTAAAGTCAGGCTTGAACTACATAGAAAGATCCCGTCTTAAAAAAACAACAACAAAAAACCCCACAAGGACTGGAGATATTGGTCAGCAGCAGCATACCTGTGTAGTATGCACAAGGCTGAGGTTCGATCCCTGACACCACAAACAAAACAAAAAAAATCCAGAGAAAGACAAATAGAGGACACAGTCCCGCACAGTCACCCATGAGAACCTTTGTCTTCCCCAGTATTGGTTGAGTACTCCTCCTCTGTGGTCCTAGAGCCTGCCTCTAAAGTAGTATTTTTCTTGCTTCCTTGTGTTTGGTAATTTACATCAATAACAACTCTCTGAAGGCAGGGTTTTTAACTATTCTATCTCTAGTCCCAGCACCTAACCCATAAAGAGCACTCTGTAAGGTTTCTTGAAACATAGAAATATCTCTATCCCAACTGACACTACATTTTTTTCTTTATTCATTTATTAATATGTGCAGACATTGTTTGGCCACTTCTCCCCCCTACTACATTTGTTTTTAAGCCACACATGACACTTCAAAGGTATTGGTGATGTTTGTTTTATTATTTTTTACATAGTATCTTGTATGTATGAAATATTTTATCAGAATAATTTAAAAATTGCTTTGAAGGCATAGCCTTATGTGCCAGTCCTTGTATTAGATTTTGGGACCACAGAGATGTCCCAAACATAAACCTACCCTCATGTTGCCTGTAGTCTAGAGAGAAGAAAAAAGTTGTATACATGTACACATGACAGCAATTTTTTTTTGTGATGCTGAGGATCAAATCTAGGGCCTTGTGCACACTAAGTGCTGTACGACTGAGCTATATCCCAATTTTTTTGAGAGAGGATCTTGTAATGTAACTCAGGCTAGCCTCAAACTTGAGATTCTCCTGCCTCTGCCTCCTGAGTGCTGGGATTACAGGTACGTACTACTATGCCTGCCTGACATAGTATGTTTTTACAGAGGATAACTGAAGGAAGTCAGGCTTCATGGAGTAAGTATCCTTTGAGCTAAGAGGAAAGCAGTTTCTCAAGGGCACGCAGAAGTAGCGTGTATCTTTGTGGAATGACTTTGTCATACTGGAGGACAGGGTTCCTCAGAGTACCATGGGATATGGCACACTGGGAACAGCTAGTGAAGACCCTGATTGGCACACTAAGCCATCTGCATTTCATGTTCTGAAGGTGTCTGGAAGCCACTGAAGTTCTGAGTGGGAGTGAGTTGTTTGAATTCATCCTTCTTCTACCAAATGCTGACCCATGACCTCCCATTTGTTGCCACTCATTGTTTAAGACTGATGTCTTTCACTGTAGGGTCTCAAGCCTACTCTGGTCTCTCAGCTTCTGCATGGTTGCAGTGAAGCAGGGAGGGAAGGAGACGATTCATTATTGAAGGGAAATAAGTAGAAAGGCTAAGTTGCCAAATACCATGCAATACGTAGGAGACAGAACTAGAATTGGAACCAAGCTATCTTTTCTCCCTGCCCATGAAGTTATTACCCTTCCCTGAGTGCCTCCTGCATCAGGACCATGCCTTGAAAACTGGGTGAGGTGAATCATGAGCAAGGAAGAGAAATGGCACCAAAGTGCCAATTGCACACCAGAAAAACACACAGAGAGAAGAGAAAGGAGTAGCTTTCCACATTGGGAGAGAGTAGTGAGGGATGGAAGGCTTCATGGAGGTGGGGAGAATGAAGCAGCTTTGGGAAGGTGAAGCAAGCACAGATCTGTGGAGAAAGGGAGGTGAGAAGGACCATGTAAAGTTTTGCAGGTGAGAAAGAACACAACATGCAGCAGTCCTCAAAAGTGCTTTCAGTCTGGCAGCCTCTGTGTCAATGGCCTGGTGCAGCTAGCTATATGGCTCCTGTGTGTGTGTGTGTGTGTGTGTGTGTGTGTGTGTGTGTGGCTTGGCAGGGGCTGTGAGGTGGGAGCAGAGGGCCTGGGTTCCTGTTTCTGTCTCCCTTCCTCTTCCTTTGCACTAGGAGGCCACCCTCCTGGAAGCCAGGATGTGTGGGTCCCAGATTCTTCCCAACCTCCCCCAGACATAAATCACAAGTGATTTCATTAAATGCACCTCCTGCTGGGGATGTTGGCTCATAATTCCTCTCTGATTAACCCCCAGTACCCCAGCAAGTTTATAGGCCAAGAGAGGGAGGGGGCTTGGGGGAGGGCATAAGAAGGGATGGGGGGAATCCCAGGCTGGTGATGGATGCCTCTGTCAGCCCAGCTCGTATTTATTAATAGTCTTAATACGGGAAGCAATAAAGGAAGAGAGGGATTCTATTAATTAAATCATTGTTATAATTAACTTTCATTAAAGGAGGATCAATAAAGAGAGGTTGAGATGGAGAGAAGAGATCCATTATCTCTAATTTCCTTGGAAAGGATTCAGGGAACGAGATGGGGTTGCTAGGCGACAGAGACATGAGGGAAGAAGGAAGGATGTAAGATGTCATCCAGGTGGGGCTGGAAGGGGGGTGGGTGGGAGGGATTCAGGTGGATGCAGACAGGAATGGTGGGGTGGTCCACCCAGGGGCCCTAAAGGAAATGGAAGGTGGCTAAGGAGCTTTTGGGATGCAGATTAACAAGGGGGCTGTGGGCATGTGTCTGGGCAGGGAACCACTGAGAGCTCTGGTGAGCAAGCAGCTCCTTAATAAATGCTTTACGATGCTGTGGTTGTGTCTGTCTAGCCTGAGATGCTGGTTAGGGTGGATGAATATGTTTTGTGACTGTGCAGTCACAGTGTATACGTGGTGTGTGAGGATATAACAGAGAGGAGGCAGAGTTGGCAAGAGTAATGCCCATCCTTTGGTGCAAGGCACAGGGATGACTCCCATGGAGGGTAAAGGTGTCAGCAGTGGAAGCCAGGTCTCTTCCCTCACCCGCCTCTACCCCACTGCACCCTAATCCATTGGTTTGCTCCCTCCTGCTCCAAGCCAGATCTTCCACTTGGGACAAAGGTTCCTTCCACTTTCTCTTGCCTCTGGTTGCCAGCACAGTGGGAATGTTAAGTGCCCAGTATCCCCCCTGCCCACCTCAGGATCTAGGAGCACAGGTCTGCATCCTCTTTGGTCCAATCGCACCTCATGATAAGAACACATTTTATGACAACAGTTACACATATCATATAAATATATTTGTTCAAACTACAGATAAGAAGGGAGGATGTGTGTGTGTGTGTGTGTGTGTGTGTGTGTGTGTGTAGAAGTTCTTATTGCTGTGGGGAACCTTGAGAGGGGGGAAGGGGCTGGGAAATGAGGACACCTGGGATCACTTATCCCCCCATCCCTCACAGAAGGCACAAATACATTATTTCTTTCCATATGAGAATATGTTGATGTGGGGTGGCAGAAAGGGCCAGGAGACAGAGTACAGGAATCCTTAAAAATATAGAAGAAACTGCCAAACTTAGTATCTAAAGGCTATGGAAAGGTCTGGGGTGGGCTGTGGAAGGCAACAGGGGAACAAAAAGAGGAAACAGTGAAACTGAGAACTGAGAGAGACCTGAAGAGGTCATGATGTCCATGTCTCAGGTCCCAGAGAAAATTCAGGTAAACAAACCCCAAATAAGAGAGGGTGAGGTGCCCTAGGAATTGGCTTTGGGGCATCGGAGAGGGGAGTGTGTGTCTGAGTGTGTGTGTACATGAGTGCATGTGGTGGCTGTGTATACAAAGCAACCAGGGCTAGTAGTGGATGATTCTATTCCCACAGAGGAAGGTCTCCTCCATCCTGGATACTTCAAAACTGTTTTCAGGGGGTAAATTCAGCCACTGCTTCCAAGAAGGACCCCTGCCTGGGACAAAAGAGCTAGGTAGGAGGAGATGAAGTTAGAAAGCTTGGGATGTAAACAGGGCACACAGGAGTGGTTCTTAGGGAACAGAATATCATGGAGCCAAGTGTGATGGAAGATAGACATGAGACCGAAGTGCATTTGTTTGTGCGTGAGTGAGTGTATGTGCATGGAAGTGTACTAGGGAGGGATGAGATCACTCAAAGGTGAAAGGGTCCTGGGTGCTGAAAAAGAAGTGTCCATCCATGTGGTCCTCCAGGGCATCCTTGTCACTCTCAGCAGGGAAGCGCTCTTTACAAATAGGACACTCTTTCCATGATGGGGTGGCAGGACCCCCAGTGCTGGCCTCTGACAGGGGGCCCACTGCAAAGCCACTAAAAAGAGATGCAGGGGAAAAGGAGAGGGTCAGTGTGTTCCACTGCCTTCTTGATTCATGGACCTCACAGAGTGGGATCCATGTGCTTGGGTCCCCAGATTGTTCTGCTCCAAATATGCAGCATCCTGGTCATTCTTTCTCCCAGCCTCTCCTGTGGCATCTTTCTCCCCACAATACTGGATGCCTGGTTTCCAAATCCCCATGTCCTCTTTTATTGAGTTCCCGCTGTCTCCACAGCACAAAGCCCATCCCCCCAACCTCCTGCTCTCCTCCCTCCATCTCCGTCTGCTGCCTAATGAGGCTGAAAATGAGTCTGACATTGTCCTTCATCTTCCTGCTCCAGTCGAGAAGGATGACAGCATCACCCCTCCCTGCCCCGAGCCTGTCTCACATTCAGGCAAAGCTGGGGGCTCAATGATAAAATTTCTCTTCCCCAGGTTCTACCCACTTAACTTAGGGCAGCAGATGATGTAGGGGGGCAATCTGATATCTGAGTGCCCCATCCTGGAGACTTCTTCCCCCAAAGTCCCCCAGGGAAGTCAAGGAAGAGGTACAGCATCTCAGGTGTAGCCAGACAGAGGCTAGATCCCAGTCTTCTTTCTGTTCCTGTCCCTGGGGGCCTTGGCCACCTCCCTTCCTCCCCCAGAGCGCCTAGGTACCTACCTGGTGGTTGGGGAAGGGGTAGGGGCAGGAGAGAGGGGATGCAGGGCAATTTGGGCTCCACGGAAGATGGTGCTAGAACAACACAGAAGCCAGTTAAAGGCGAGGCCTCTGATTACCAAGGTAAGACAGAGGGAGAGAGGACCTGAAGGCATCTGGGATTTGGAGCACTGAGTAATTTTCTACTTCAATCACACCTGTACTTTCTTTTCTCGGCTGAGGCTAAGAAGGGCATGCTCAGGGCAGGGCATGGTGACTATTCACATGAATGCTCTTTCTCACTGGCCTCCCCACCTCCCTCTCAAGTTCCCCTGCTGCACTCACCTTGCCATGTCATAGAAGGCATTGCCCAGTTCAGGGAGCAGCAGGTTGGCCTCCTCACCCCCACTCTGCACAGCTGCCATCAGGACTGATTTCTCATCCTCAGCCTCCTGGGCACCAAAGACAGGCCTGAGTTTGGGATGGTGTCCCAAGGTGAGGGTGCAGCACAGTAGAGCAGGCACGGGAAGAGTAGCCAAGGCTGGGACAGTAAGGGGATGGGGCCTGGAAGGCTGGTGCATAAGGGGAAGGGGACTAGAAGCAATGAGGTTATTGGGTTAGTCTGGGTTTTGGGTGGTTCTGCTGGTGGCCTTGAAGAGGCTGGGCTTGCCTCCTCTCCCCTGAGAGAGAGCTCTGTATAGCACAGATCTTTGCCCTGGGGGCTGGAACCCTCCCCTCTCCTTACTGCTTCTGCCAGGGCTCCCCTCATTGCTCACCGAGTCAGAGCTACTGTCCTCAACTGGCCCTGAGATGTGGGGAGCAATAGGCATTGGCTGACTGATGACAACGAGAGGAGAAGCCTCTCGAGGCCCTGCAGGAGAGGAGCCTGGCTCTCCACGTTCACATAGGCCATACGGCGGGAGCCTCATGTCTTCTGGGGACTCATCCTCTGAGTCTGTCAGAGCTGTGGGGCAGCCTATAGGAGAGGAAGCAGGCAGAACAGAAAAAAAGGTACATCATTAGAGGGCTGGATCAGCTAGGCCTCCTTTGGAGGAGGGGAACAGTTCAACTGAATAGGGGCTGGAGTGTGGGAAGGGAAAAGGCAAAACAAATCGAAAGCAGAGCAACTCCCAGGGCATCACATGGAGCTTTTCTCAAAAGAGGGAGGTGGAAAGGGGAAGAGGTGTCACAAGATTGGGGGTATACAGACTCAGCCCTGCAGTGGCCTCCTCGTCCTCTGTGGCAGCATCCTCATTCCACTTCTCATCTGCCACCTTCTCCAAGCGGGCCTCCAGCTTCCTCATGTACTCTAGCAGCTCCTGGAGTTGGGGAAGAAAGAGGCAGGTGCTAGGGGCTGGGAAGATGGCAACCTTGCTGACCTACCCGGCCCTTCCTTGCTCCCAGATGAACTCTTAGCTCCTCAGGATTAGATGCCTTCACTACAGGGTGGGGTCATGAAAGGCAGATCCCCTTACCCATGAGTACTCCTCCACCTGTACCTCTTGGTGCTCTTCCCCTATGCAAAGGCAGCTAAAAAAAGAGGAGCCAGAGTCTTTTTTTTAGTCTCTGAGCCCTCTTAGAGATTCTAGTTTCTATGCTAAGAGAGGACAAGAAGATATTGAATTTGAGTCCCCAAGTTCTCGGCTCTGGCATCCAACAGCCAGGTTCTTACCTGCTTCTCTGCTTGCAACTGTTCCTTTTCTTTCTGGAGCACACGGAGGGCTGACCGCAGCTCTGTCAGCTCCCGCTTACTCTCTGACAACTGCACCTAAGGGAGAAGGGCCAATGGAACCTTAAGCCTAGAATGTATCTCCAAGAACCTGGGCTCTGGAACCTGGACCAGCACTCTAGAACCAGGTTCTCTGCTCTGACACACACAATGCTTTTCCTTCATGAGACCCTCATTTTGTCCACAGAGACTCAGTTTGAGTCCTAGTCTCTACCTCTTGGTTATGGACTTGGATGACTGTCCCAGGCTGGGGTGCAGAGGCCTTGATCATACCAGGGGTCACTCTGTAATTCCCACAAGTCACTCCTACTTGGGCCAGGTGTGTACTCTCAGTGCAGAAGGGGACACTGCATTCACACAAATGGGGGCTGGGAGGTATGTAAATGGGATGTCACCCAACATAAAAGTTGGCACCTGGCACTTCAGAAGCCACACCTGAGAGAGGAATAAAGAGCATCAGGAGGACATACAAAGGGGCCCGTGTGGCTGGATGCCTCACCAGGCTAGAATCTTTTTCCCGGGCCAGCTCACTCTTGAACACGTGAGTCTGGCTCCTCTCCTCCTGCACTGCCTTCTCTAGTCGAAGAATCTCTGCACTCAGTTTCAGGATCTTGTCCTTCTCTGCCTGGAGACATAAAGGAGAATAGGAGGGTGGAGGTGAGGAAAAAGGGTTGCCACTGGTAACAGCACCATTCCTCACTGCTTCCCTTCATTTATTGGACTGGACTGTTTTCTGAGCAATTTCCCCTTTGTTCCTTATTTCTCATATTCTCTAAATGCAGAACAGAACATGACAGCAAGGTGCAGTGCTGATCAGGAATGGACATTAAGGTAAGGTCTGTTGCCTACAGCAGTAAATGTTTTTGTGTTTCTGTTGACTGGGACTGGAATTACCTGGTTAGGACTGGATCACCTGGAGAGTAAAGGGTTCCTCCTTTGAAGTCCCACATCCCAAGTTCTCTAAGGTTCTCAACTCCTTTTCTCTCCTCTAGGAGGGCCTGACCATATTTAGGAGTCCCCACAGAGGTAGGGGGAGTGGTCATGAGAGCACCAGGTCCCACTACCCTCTACCTCCACACTCTGCAGCAGCCCAGCCCGCTCTTTGCTCCACTGGCACTTTTCCTCTTTCAGGTGCAGACTGAGCTCAGCCAGCCTGCCGTTGACTTCAGCCACTTCCAGGCGGCTACGGTGCAGCTCAGCTATGGTGCGGTCCCTGGCTCCTGCTGCGCTGGCCAACTCCTCTCCAAGAAGAGCAGCTTTTTGCTGGCTTGAGGCTGCAAGCTCCTGGGCTCCTCGAAGTTGCTCCTTCAGGGGCTCCAGCTCAGCCTCAGGAGAAAGAGGGAGTGGAGATCAGAGTTCCCAGGGAATTGTTTGTGAACAAGGAAGGGAACCCGCCCCACACCACCATATCTGGATTCAATACTGTACTGGTCAGTTTAGCCATGTTTTTGTCCCTTCTCTCTGGCCAGGGAACTTTGGGAAAGCCCTTGGAACTTTCACTGCCTCCTGTTGTCTGGAGACCTTCACTCACCACTCTCTGTTGGGTCTGGCCTAGGGTGTCCTTCATGTGGGCCACCTTGTCCTTCAGTCGCTGGGCCTGAGCACCCTGCTCTTCCTGCCGGCCCTTGGCCTCCTGAAGCTGCACGTTTAAGCGGTGGTTCTCCTGTTGTACCATTTGGAGCTCAGCCTGATGGAATGAAAGTAGGTAAGAAAAGGTAAGAGTGTTGGAGTAGGCAGGGAGAGGGTGACCTCTGTCATTGTGATGAGAGAGGTCAAGGTCCACTTCTTAGATTTAACACAAGCTTAAGTATTTGGTTCTTGCCAGTCCTTCTTAGGTCCTCAGCTCAAAGAAACTCAGTCTTGAACATTTGGTCTCCAGATCCTAAATGAGGTGTCCATAGCATCATAGCCTGGGAGTCTTCCATGTAGATATCCCATGTCCCACTTCTGCTTTTCTACTTTTCCTTTCCAATCAAAGCTCAGTCTGGTGTCCTAAACTCAGCATATTCTACCTCTCATTCCAGTGTCTGTCTGTCTGTCTTTCTCTTTTGGAGACAGGGTCTTTTTATATTGCCTAAACTGGCTTCAAACTCATGACCCATCTGTCTCTGCTTCCTCAGTGCTGGGATTAGAGGTGTGTACCACCATGTTAGTCCTTATTCCAGTTTTTTATACTTTAATTTCTATTTATTGTACTACTTCCCGAGGCACCCAGGCTGGATACACTGGTGCTATACTTGGCTTTGTTCTATCCTCAGTGGCCCACAGAAAAACCTATTGCTTTTCTATCCTCCATCTTGGTCACAGCCATTTTCCTTTTTCTATTACTGTCATAACCACATTAGCTTAGGCTCTGGACATTTCTTGCTTAGACAAGTGAATAACCTCATAACTATTTTCACAAGGCAATCAGATTAATCTTCAAGTATAGTTCTTTTATTTATTTATTGGTGGCACTGGGGTTTGAACTTAGGGTTTCATGCTTGCTAGACAGATGCTCTACCACTTAAGCCACTCTTCCAGCACTAAGTATAGTTCTTTGAGTATATGTCAAAAAACGTATCAATGTATTTCACTGCTTAAAGAATAAAGACTAAACTCAAGGTCCTCAACAATCTGACTTAGACTTTATCTCATCCTCTTTACCCACATCTTCAACTGCCTTGAGTGTCCTGCCTCCAAGCCTTTGCTCGTATCTTTCTCTGCTCTGCTCAAATTATCCCTATTTTTGACTCCTGAGCAAACCATCTTCCACAGAAGCCAGAGTACTGCAAATGTCTGATTTGAAGTTGATCTATTTTTTTTTTTTTTGTGGCACTGGGGATTGAACCCACGGTCTTGCACATGCTAGACAAACATTCTGCCATAGAACTACATCTCCAGCCTGAACTTGTTGTAGATTAAAAATTATGTTAAAAATCACACAAACACACAAGTTAACATATTGGAAATCACCCATTCATCAATGTGTGCTTCTAGGTTAATTCACTTTTATGTTAACCTCAGAATAAAATTTCTATTGCATTTTCTATTGATGTGAAGAAGTAAACTGATATTGCAAGGTGGATATCATTTGCATCTACTTGTGTGTGACTCAAGAAGTGCTCAATAGTATACAACCAAAACAAAATACAGAAATACATTAGCTGCCGAGGCTGACATAACAGTCATCCATAATCCCTAATTTCAAAGTTTGGTATCCATCAAAATTATTTAATTGCTTTGGTTTTTTTTTTTTTTTTGACTGTACTGAGGTTTGAACTCAGGGCCTTGTGCTTACTAGGCAGGTGCTCTCTCACTTGAGCCACACCCCAGCCCTTTTTCTTTCATTTTTTTTTTAATAGGGTCTCACATTTATGCCTGGGATGGCCTGGACCACGATACTGCTATTTACAATTCCTGCTCAGCTGGGATGACAGAAATGCACCACCAAACCAAACTTTTATTGGTTGAGATGGGGTCTAAGATTGCCCAGGTTGGCTTCAAACTGCAATCTTCCTGATCTTTGCCTCCTGAGTAGCTAGGATTACCGACATGAGCCATGTACCCAGCTTATTTATTTATTTTTTAGACAGGCTCTTATTATTAGCCCAGGCTGGCCTCTAACTTGCAATCTTGTGTCAGCTTCCTGAGTGCTAGAATTACAGGCATGCACCATCATGCCCAGCCACTTAATTGTTTTCAATACCATATAAGTAAATGTTATATATTTGAATTCATAAAATTAAATTTATAGGTAGTAAAATATTGCTTTTGTTTATTGAGATTCCACATAAGATGGAAAACTTCATTGGTGGGTGGGAGACAAAAGGTTCTGCAGCTAAAAAGTTTTGAAAATACTCGGCTACTTCAGCCCCCTGCCATATTTATTTTATTTATTTTTTTAGATAGGGTCTCCCTAGGTAGCCCAGGTTGGCCCTGACTCACAATCTTCCTGCCTCAGCCTCCAGAGTGCTGGATATAGGTGTGAATATAGGTGTGCACCCCCATGCCTGGCCTTTACCCCTGTTTTAACAGCCTTTTCTAAAAAGCACTTTTTGAGAAATGGGCATGTGAACTAAACAGAACTTTCTCAAAAGAAGAAATTCAAATGGCCAGAAAACACATGAAAAAATGCTCACCATCTCTAGCAATAAAGGAAATGCAAATTAAAACCACACTAAGATTCCACCTCACCCCTGTTAGAATAGCCATCATCAGCAACACCACCAACAACAGGTGTTGGCGAGGATGCGGGGAAAAAGGAACCCTCTTACACTGTTGGTGGGAATGTAGACTAGTACAACCACTCTGGAAAAAAATTTGGAGGCTACTTAAAAAGCTGGACATCGATCTACCATTTGATCCAGCAATACCACTCTTGGGGATATACCCAAAAGACTGTTACTCCAGAGGCTCCTGCACATCCATGTTTATTGCGGCACTATTCACAATAGCCAAGTTATGGAAACAGCCAAGATGCCCCAGCACTGACGAATGGATTAAGAAAATGTGGTATCTATACACAATGGAATTTTATGCAGCCATGAAGAAGAACGAAATGTTATCATTCGCTGGTAAATGGATGGAATTGGAGAACATCATTCTGAGTGAGGTTAGCCTGGCTCAAAAAACCAAAAATCGTATGTTCTCCCTCATATGTGGACATTAGATCAAGGGCAAACACAACAAGGGGATTGGACTATGAGCACATGATAAAAGCGAGAGCACACAAGGGAGGGGTGAGGATAGGTAAGACACCTAAAAAACTAGCTAGCATTTGTTGCCCTTAATGCAGAGAAACTAAAGCAGATACCTTAAAGCAACTGAGGCCAATAGGAAAAGGGGACCAGGTACTAGAGAAAAGGTTAGACCCAAAAAGAATTAACCTAGAAGGTAACACCCACGCACAGGAAATCAATGTGAGTCAATGCCCTGTATAGCTATCTTTATCTCAACCAGCAAAACCCCTTGTTCCTTCCTATTATTGCTTATACTCTCTCTACAACAAAATTAGAGATAAGGGCAAAATAGTTTCTGCTGGGTATTGAGGGGGGGAGCGGGAGGGGGTGGAGTGGGTGGTAAGGGAGGGGGTGGGGGCAGGGGGGGAGAAATGAACCAAGCCTTGTATGCACATATGAATAATAAAAGAAAAATGAAAAAAAAAAAATAAAAAGCACTTTTTGGCAGTACTGGGTGTTGGCCTGTTTGCTAGGCAGGCACTCTCTCATTTGAGCCACTCTGCCAGCCCAAAACAGCCTCTTCTAATGTCTCAGTGGGATAGCTCTTAACCACCTCTCTAGCACCCTGTTGTGATACTTATGTTCTACTCTAATCCTGATTTGGGGTGAGTAATATGTCCTGGAGTACAGTGCACATAAGGTCTTCTTTACATTTTTATCCCTGTTGGTGCCCAGCCCTTAGAAGGGACTTCATAAACAATGGCTCTGAGCCCCTTACCTCGTTTTGCTCCTTGTCTGCTTGGACTTCCTTCAGCTGCCCCAGCAGTTTCTCCTGTTCCCGAGTTAGGGCCTTCACTGAGTCTCTAACCCTGTGAGTGGGGGACACTTGTTGGATCATTTGGTCATCCAGAGAAAAGCAATGAAGAACTCAGACCTCTGTCCTGTGCTCTTCTACTGGTGCTCCTCTAGACCAGGGCCTCCACTTCACTCTGGGATCCTCAAGTCCCCACACCAAAGAATCCAGTTCTAAACACAAAGAACCCAAGTTTCCTAGCACTAGAATACAATGTAGAAACAAACTGCTTTTCCTTTCTCTTTATATGTCATTTTAAGGAATGTTCTGCTGATGGTTCCCTGGTTCTGGGGCTATTTTCATTTACTCAAGAGACTAGAATTCAAACTTTTGTAGACAAGGGGCAGTCATTACTGGTTATAATGTTTTTCTTTGTGGTACTGGGATTTGAACTAAGGGCCTCACACTTGTTAGGCAGGCACTCTACTACTTGAGCCATGCTGCCAGCCTATTTTTGCTTTATTTTTTTGTATAGGGTTTCACTTTTTTTTTTTTTAAACTTGGGTCTAGTCTCAGGCTGCCATCCTTCCTATCTCCACCTCCCATAAAGCTGGAATCACAGGTTTGTGTCACCGTGCCTCGCTTGTTGGATGAGAGAAGGTCTACTTAACTTCATGCCTGGGCTGGTTTCAAACCAGGGTTCTCCTGATCTCTGCCTCTGAGCAGCTGGAATCACAGGCATGTACCACCAAATCTGGCCTGTTACAGATATTTCTTGATAGTAAATATTTTAGGCTCTATAAGTCATATAGTCTCTGTAGCAACTACTCTGACAAGCTGTGGAAGCAGCCATAGACAATATGTAAATGAACAAGCATGGTGTTCCAATAACTTTACTTATGAACACTGAGATTTGAATTTTATATAATTTTTGTATCATAAAATATTTTCTTCTTTTAATATATTCTTCAATCATTAAAACATGTAAAAACCATTCTTATCTGTGGGCTATACAAAACAGGTGGTAGGCTAGATTTGGCATGTGAGTCATAGTTTGGTGATCCCTGGTCTAGAGTCCCTAAGAACATAGACATCTGGTATCTCTCTAGGACATGACTAAAATATCCTGAAGAAGCCTTTTGGATTAAACCAGGACCCCTTGGCAAGTTATAGGAAAGTAGAGTGGTTCTACTAAGAGATATAAAAGTGACAGCTGTCCAATATTGAAATAGGCTGTCTGGTGAAGGTGACCTCTTATATGCTAAGTTCCTATGATTTATATTGATTTGTATCTTTTTTCAAGGGAGAGATTTTATAATACTCCTGGATCACCAGCTCTAACATCTTCCCTTCTTTCCTCCCTCCCTCCCTTCCTTTTTTTTTTTTTTTTTAATTCAGTGCTGGGGATTGAACCAAGGACATGCTAGACATGTGCCCTACCACTGAGCTGTAACTCTAGTTCATTTAACATTCCTTAATAGTGAGAACAGAGTCTAAATGTACCATTCCTGTGGTTTTTTTAGAGATGGGGTCCAGGCTGATCTCAAACTCCTGGACACAAGCTATCTTCTTGTTTTAGCCTTCTTTTTTTTAATTTTTATTTTATTCATATTGTTTTAGCCTTCTGAGTGGCTAGGACTATAGGCAAAATACCACCGGTGGAATCCATTCTCTCTTATCTTGCATTGACTGTTCTATGCAATCTCTTCTTCCAAATCCTCCACTCCTAGTTCTGCTTAGCTTTTTCTGCATAATAAATGCCAACTATGAAGGTAAGGAACACAGAATAGCATTAGGAAGTATGGAAGAGAGCTAGCAGAAAGAGATCCCCAGTAACTGGAATACCCTGAGTGAGGTTGAGAAGAGACAGAGAAACCAGGTGAGACAGACAGCAGGTCTGTCTGAAACAGGAGGCTAGAATGTGGAGGTTCATGGAAAACGATGAATAGTACTGGGGGGTGGGAAGGTCCCCTCACCTATCCAGCTCCACCTCTTTCGTCAGCACTTTCTCACTGATGGTCTGGATGTCATCCTCTAACTCCAGGATACGCGCCACATGGTCTCCCTGTTGCTGGCTCAGAATGTCCCTCTCTTCTGTGAGCTCCCGATGGGACCGGGAAAGTCCCTGGAATTAAGGTCCCCACAGAAGAAGACAGAAGATAAGATTCATCAATCAAAGAGCAAGACAAAGGCTTGAACATACCAGCAATGGACCACTCCTATCTCCATCCCATCACTTTCCTTGAAAAGAGAATGTTTCCTTTATCTGGAAATATGGCCACCTTCACCTTGCCTCAACATTCCACGTTCAAAGAAATGAGTGTCATTGCAAATTTTGGACATATCTCTTGTTATTTCAAGTTTAATCCCATTTGTTACCCTTAAAACTATTTCTTCAATGCCAAGACCATCTTAAAAGCCCACTAACATCTCTCTTGTCCTTTTTTCACTGGTTTCTGATTTTGGACTCCTGGATGAGCAGCCAGGCCCCATTACCTATCACGCTCACTCCCACCTTGTATTGCTCTGTGAGCTCTGCATGATCCCGCTTGATGGTCGCCAGAGCAGTCTCCAGCTCCTGAACTCGGCTCCTCAGCTCTGTCACCTGCTCCTCTAGCTGCAGCTTCAGCTGCATCAGGTCATTCCGTTCTTGCTGGCTCTCATCCAGCTGGTTCTACAGGGGCATGATGAAAAGGGGGGAGGGTTCTGTGAGGCACCCATTCTAAGGTCTCAACATTCTTCAGATGCATTTTGGGACTGGGCAGCCATATCAGTATGGAATATGAAGGGGTGAGCAGGGGAGGCTTGATGTGATGCTGAATCCCCCACTCATACACAGCAGTCCTAGCACTAGCTAACTGCCATCCCTCTATCACCTTTTCCCACCCCAGGCCTGGCTGACCCCTTTCTCACTGAGCAACTGCAAGGATACATTATCTGGGATGAGACACAGACAAAACAGGTGGTTCTCCTAAGTTTACTCTGTGTTTTTGGAGTTGTACAGACTTGGGTCAAGTCTCCAATACAATTTTTACTAGTATGTGATTTTGAACAAGTTATTGAATGGCTCTGAGTCTCTGTACCCTCATCTGTGAGATAACTCCTTAGCCTGGGATGCTGTAAGGTTTCATGAGAGTGAAAACAGAACATTGAGCAGGAATTCACACATCTGAGTTAGGTGTAAACTTCTTTTTCCTATTCTTGTGTTGGCTGTATATATTTATTAGACTTAGGGTTCTAGAAGACAGGGGTTTGTGTAAATTACAGAAAAGCTACTCACTCTTACCACTCTGACCTTCTGAGGTCTTTCCCCTCATCTGGGGAATTTACTCCCTCCCCGCCTGACCTTGGCCCTTGGCTTTCCCTCAGGAAATCTCCCTTGCTAATATTTGCCTCCACTTTCTAATTCTTCTCTACTTGGCCCAGTAGAAATATAATATAAGCCACATATATAAGTTTAAATTTTGTAGTAGCCACTTATAAAATGAGAAATACGTGAAATTCATTTTTCTAATACTTCATCTAATCCAGTCCATTCAAAATATTATTATTTTAACATTAATTAGTATAAAAATTGAGATCTTTCACATTCTTTCTTTTAATACTAAATCTCAAAGTCCAGTGTGTATTTTACCTGTGGCTTATCTTTCAGTTTGGATTAATCACATTTGTACTTTTTTTTTTTTTTTGGCGTTACTGGCATTTGAACTCAGGGTCTCAACTTGCTAGGCAGGGGCTCTATCACTTGAACCACTCTGCCACATTTGAAGTGCTAAGAGCCACATGTGGTCAGCACCTCAGGTACTGGATGGGCAGGGCTGGGACCCTGCCTACCTACTGCCTCTCCTCACTTGTCTCATTCTCCTTTTCTCTCAGTGGATCTTCCTATAGGCCTAGGGCAGAAAGCATGCTCAAAGAAGAAAGGCTCAAAGAGTTCTATGAAATCCTGAGTTATGCTGGCCTGTGGATGACTTGTTCTTCTGCCCCACATGTTCATGGCTATGTGAAGGTTGAGACTTTCTTGAAAGCAGACCTTGTGTAGTACCCGGTGAATTCTTCAGCAGAGGCTATAGATGAGACGAGGTAAAGTGGGAAAGTGCCTCTTACAAAGATGTCCTTTGCCTCCCTGACCCAGGAGCAAGTCTGTTGCTCTTTTCTCACCTGCAGCACAGTGGCCTTGGGGACAACCAGCAGGATGTCAGAGCCGCCATCACCTTCCTCCAAGGTCACCAGCTCATCCATGGGTCTTGGCTCTCGGAACTGGAAGGGGGTGCTCTGCCCACATACCCGGCCCTGACGGTTCACGTACCGGAACTGGTAGAGTTGGGCTCCTGGTTTGGGCAGGTAGCTGGCTGTGGGAAGAAAAACAGACCCAAGACCCCAATATGATCCCAGGTCCTCAAGTGCTCAGCAGGTCCCTCTTCTCCTTATTCCATCTTCCTTGGCTACATCCCATTGCTGCCTGTCCCATATACTACTTCTCCCCCTCTCCACCTCCCACAGGCTATTTCTGTCTCTTGGTTACTCTTCTTCCTCCTCTCTGCCTAGCCTTCTCCTTCCTCTTTTTCCCAAACCCACTTCCCTCCCTTATTATCATAATAATGCAATTGCCATTTATTGGGTGCACTGCACCAACAGTTTGACCTGAATAATTTGAAATCATCATGTTGTCGCTATAAGCCAGGCTTTCCTTTTTACTTTTAAGATACTAGACACGCAGAGGTTCAGTTGTCTGCCCAAGACTAAATAGAGCTGACATTTGACTTTTATTTTATTTTAATTTTTTCTTGAAATGACCCAAACGTTGTATGCACATAAGAGCTGACATTTGAATCCAAGTCTTTCAGAATCTTCTGACCACTTTCTTTTCAATATATGATGCTACCTCAACATCTTCCCTACTCCTAGTTCCATAAGAGCAGTTCCTCCTCCTTTGAGTAGGCACAGGACCAGATATCCTCTAAAGATTCTTCTACCTGTAATTCCCTGGTTCTGTGAGAATCCCATGATTCTATATTTGCTGAGCCCTGTTGAATATAGTCTCATTTCAGGTTTTCTTTTCTTTTTTGGCAGTACTGGCATTTGAACTCAGGGCCTTGCACTTGCTACGCAGGTACTCTACCACTTGAGCAACCCCCAGCCTATTTTGCTTTAGTTATTTTTCAGATAGGGTCTTGCATTTTTGCCTAGGGCCAGTCTCGGCTCTTGATTCTCCTATCCACATCCTCCCACATAGCTGAGATCACAGGTGTACACTACAAACTGCCCAGCTTATTGGTTGAAATTGGGTCTTGCTAACTTTTTGCAGGGCTGGCCTAGAATACAGGGTCTCACTATGTTGCCCAGTCTGGTCTTGAACTCCTAGGCTCAAGTGATCCTCCTGCTTCAGCTTCCCTAGTAGCTAGGACTATAGGCATGTGCTACCACACCTGGTTCTTAAAAATTATTTGCATTTAATGTTCCTTGTCCTCTGTGCCTTTCATGTTTTTGAGCCCATTTTCTTCCTCCAAACTTCTGCTTCCTTGGATCCTGCCTCCCACTTTTCCATCTTTCCTTGTACCTTGGAACTGGACACTGGCGTGAGTGGGGGAACCATCAGTTGTGCTTTCCGGCACCGAAGACCACACAAATGTGTGGTAATCCCGAACACAGGCAGCCTCCACCTATGACAGCATAAGGTGGGAGACAGGTATGGTGATGGAACTACTGTCTATGGATGGTAGAGGGGGTGGAGGGAATGAATGAGGGGGAACATGGTGTCACAGGGGCAAGGATGATAGGATACAGGGAAAATGGGGGATCAGGAGAGAGCAAGGCTGAGATGGGGAGAAGATGAGCTTTGCTTATATGGATGCCCTCTGTCATGTGTACCATCTTTCTCTCTTCTCTATCAAATCAGGTTGAGAATCCAAGAACCTAGTCATTCCCCTTAACCCAACCAACCAATGTTCCATTAGCCTGAGCCAAAAGGGGTTCCAGGGATACCTTGAAGATGCCAATCCAGTCACTGGCACTGGGCATAGTGCCTGGGGGGAGGGTGTAGTGACATTCCACCTTGGTGTTGGGAATGTAGGTCCGGGCTACATTCAGAAAGTTGACTCCACCTCTGGAGGGTGCCCGACTTAGTGATGATTCTTCCATGCTGTCCTTGAAATACCTGCCCTCCTACAAAGAAAAGAGTTGATATTCTAAAGTTTCTCCATTCCACCTCCCTCCCCCAACTCATCCCTACTCACTCACAACCCTGCCACTACACCTGGACAGAAGGGCATACCTGCTTTCCAGTCAAGGGTTATGGGACCTTTTAAGGATACCACTCAGTCTCTAGGACACAGATCTGACCTTTCATGTGAGTCCCCACCCTGTGTTATGCCGTACCCTTTCTGGTTCGTAGACTCTTCAGTTATAACTTCTACTCCCTTTTCACTGTCTCATTGACCAAATCTCAGTAACCCAGTAACCTAGGTTCTGCCAACCTCACTCCTTCCTGAAAGACTTTATTATTTTTGGCAGCAATGACGTTTGAACTCAGGGCCTCATGCTTGCTGGGCAGGTGCTCTTACAGCTTGAGCCACTCTACCAGTCCTTTTTTGCGATGGGTTTTTTCAAGATAGGGTCTTGAGAACTATTTGCCCCGGGCTGGTTTTGAATTGCAATCCTCCTGATTTCCACCTCCTGAGTAGCTAGAATTACAGGCATGAGCCACTAGCAACCAGCTCCCTCCTGAAAGACTCTTAATTACCTAGAGCATTCCAAATTCTCCAGCTTCTCTTTCCTAACTCCTTCACCCACACCTTTGGCTCTTGAAATCAAAATCCAACTGAGGTGTGGGGCCCTCTTATTCTGAGGTCTCCTTACCTACTCCTGAGCTTGTTGACCTAACTGTACCTGGAAATAAATTATGACACCTGAAAGCAGCAACTAATCTCTGAAAGGGATGGTTGAGTCTTCAGAGCTGGAATATGGGAGGGGGATGGGCGAGAACTAGTATTCTAATCCTGGCCCCTGAGCTGAGTCCACTCCCCCTCTCTGAGCTGTCTACCCCCATAAATTCTAGGGAAAGTAGAAAGCTTCTGTTCTTATCCAAGAAACAAAGCGAAGGGGAGGATGTAAGGAAGACAGGTTCTGTCCCTCAACTTCATTATTCCCGGAAGTCAAGAATTCTGGAGGCGGCTGGCTTCAGGGGTGGAGTGAAACACTCAGCAGGAACGTGGTGGTGTGGGGAGATGGAATGTGGGAACCTGGAGCCAGGAAAGCCCCACCCCTGGGCCTGGGACAGAATGGAAATGGGGAAGTAAGGGGGCCTGGAGAAATGTATATTTAATGTTGAGAAAAGGAAGAGAGAGTTCAAATGAAACATTCTTCTTTCCAGATTTTTGCCTGGAGCTGGGCTGCAAACCTACTGGTTTGATTGGATGTTAACCCATCTCTAGGATTTTCCTCCCTATTTTCTTTCTGCTTTTCTTAACTTAATTCTAAGTGCAGGAAGCCTGCCATCTGCTTGGATTAGTACTTGAAGATATGCTATAGGATGAGGTTGGGAGTAATAGATATTCCAAGTTACCTGGGGAGAGTTAGTTGGAAAATATGGGGGTTGGGTGAGGACAGATAACAATAAAAACGAGTACTCCCCAGCCCAGGGCTGTAAGCCTGTCCTCTTCTCATCTCTCCATTCCAGCCCACTAATCTGCTTCCTGTGTCAGCTGCTGCTGATGCGTCCAATCAGCCACCACCACTAGTCATGTGCACACCCCTAAACATCACAAACCCATACCAGACTGAGGGGGTGGGGGAAGAACTTTAAAAGAAATCACAAACTCAGTGAAGAAGGAAAGGTGGGTCAGCAATACAAAAAAGAGCAACATCTCCCTCCAAAACAGACTGAATTGAAGAAAAGAGATTTCTTTGGATTTTCATGTCTGAAAAATCCTGGTTAAAACTAGTCTGTGTTTTCTCTAACATAATTCTTCACAGGGAAAGAGGAGTACGAACTGTCCCCAAAGATCTGCAACCGGGGAAGTCCCCAAATACTCTCCACAAAGAAAATCCGTAACAGCTGCAAACATTCTCCATGTCTGAAAGTTCTGGGCACCTAAAGTATATATATGTGGCCAGATTCAGAGGTTCATATGGTATGTGTGTGTGTGTGTGTGTCCGTGTCCTCTATCCTTCCACTCTGTCAGGCTCTGAAGTTCCTTGGCATTCTACAGCTTGGAAACCCTCCCACCCCCCCGGGATTCAGCGTAGTAAAGGCCTTTGGATTTGGGCGAGAGAGGGAAGGTTTGTGAGGGCCAAGGCTTGCCTGTAAGAGAATAAGCAAAGATTTGGGCTGCCTTAAACTCTCCTAAGCGAATCGAGCTTTGCAGAGAAGGCCTGAGAAGAAAGTGAGGACAATGCGGGGCCGCTCCTCACCCTGCTCAGGGCCCCCCTGAAATCAATAACACTCAAAACGTGGGGGTGGCTTCTCCATACGTAAAGTATTAAAACTTAAATGCTCCTACATTCTCCTTCTACAGTTCCCTTAGATTATCATTGCAAAGTCTGGAAAGTCGGGTAACCCCCTCCGTAAAACCTCCCTCCCAATTAGGCCAAGTTTCTTACCCCACAGACGGATCAGCTGTTCCCCTCACCTTTCACCAACAACAAAAACAGCACTCCGACTGAAGGAGGGGCTGGGGAAGAGTGGTGCGAGGGCTTTTGGGGCGTGTGGTTCTTCTGCAGCCTATCGCCGCCCAATTTTCTGCCCATAGGACTACATATCCCATGAGGTTGCGCGTGAGGGGGCGGGGAAGAGGGCGGTGGTGGCGGCAGCCTCCGCGAGGCATCCTGGGAGACGTAGTCCTCACTTCCGTGACAGTCCACAAGGGTGTGGCTACCAAAGGACTTCACCGCCCATGATTCCTCAGGAGGGGCAAGCGGCACTAGTGGTAGCTGCTGGCTCGTAGCATGCTTTGGTGGGGTGCGGGGAGGATTTATGACTCTAACGCGTTCTGCATAACGCTTTTCTGGGGGCAAAACTCAGGTGGCCCTTCTCATTCACTTTTTAAGCCACCTATAAGATAGATCTCAGTGTTATACACACTTTACAAAGAAAGGAGCTAAAGCCTGCAACGGTTAAGAAAGTGGTCCAGGCTATGAAATGGTAGAACGTCACTTAGGGCTGTCCGAATCCATAACCTTTGCTGTTACAACTACACATATTTAAGGGGCGGGAGATTCATAGCAGAGATAGCAGTTTCTTCTTTGCGCCAGCCTCAGGGAAAGACCTTGTAAAAGCTATGAGTTCCTCATGGCTATTCCAAGTTGAGGATTTCTGTGCCCAGGTGCGTGACAATACCCACACACTTGGATGGGGCGCCCCTAGAGCTTCTGGGTCCAGGAAGAGGATGCATTGCCTGAAGTGGTGACGAGAGATGTGGAACAAGAAGGATGACGTTGAACAGGGAGCTTGGCATAATTCAGGACCTGTCATAACTCACAAACAAGCCACTTACAGGGACCTGTTTACCCAAGCCTTTTTACTGGTTTAAATTAGGATAACCATACAGGTTGCTGCTCTGGTTTTTGTTTAGAAGAAGCAAAAGATTTATACGCCTCTCACACCCAACTCAAGTTAAAGACTTGGACATCCATCCACTTCCCCCCCCCCGCCAAAACTTTAATCTGAAGTTTTCACAATTCTCTCTCTCCCTGCTTCTGTATTAAAGGATTACATTCTAAGTAGTGATTGGGCTGCGGGTGTAACTCAGGTGGTAGAGCACTTACCTAGCATGTGTAAGGACATGGTTCCATCCTCAGGACTGAAAAAACACAAAACAAAAAACCCAACAACATTTCTTCTTCCTAGCTGCCTGCTTTAATTCTCTGCTGCACTAAGTTCTGGAGCCTCTGTCTTTCCCAAGTTTTTTGGCAGTGTTATTTCTTTTATGACTGACTAGGATGTCTGGTGCCTGCCCTTGGGTGCCTTTCATCTGAGGATCTTTAAGCCCTTAATAAGTTCCTGGGCTGCACAAGCATTAAGGTGACGTGGCTGTGTCATTAGTCAGGATTTATGAGTTAGGGAACAAGCTGCTGGATGAGGAGATGGCTTAAGGTCTGGGGGTGGGCAAAGAATGAGGCCTGTTCAAGGACCCAAGTCTCAAGTGCTCTTGGTTTTTCTGTTCTACCAGAGTAAAGGTCTATAAGAAAACTCAGTCTCAAAGTGGAGCAAAAAATGATAACTCGTGTTTATTGGTGCTTACATATGTTTAAATGGCCTTATATAGTTGGCCCTATTATTGTCCCCATTTTACATATGATGAGATGGAGGAATAAACAATTAGGTCACTTGCTTGGGGTCATCTAACCACTAGTGGCAGAATGAGGATTCAAACACAAGCAGTCAGTACAACATATTCACACCCCTGAAATTCTGGAATGTGATATTAACTCCCATTGTTCTAAGGAATGTTGATGTTAATCAGGAGATACATACTCACTGAACATTAATGTGCTCAGTGTACAAGGTAATGTGAAACAGATTAATCCAACAATTATGTATTAGGTACTTATTATGCTGGATATTCAATACATTTTACTGAAAGAATGAATATAAAATATAGATATTTGAAGGATTAGATTTGAATAGTTTGGTAAAATGGGGACTGGGAAGTTATTCTACACTGAAGCAAAGATTCAGAAATGGGAATGGATAATATTTACTGGATCTTAAAGAGGCACATGAAATAGCAAATTAATTTCAACCTTAAAAAAAAACACCTCAGATAATTGGTAATGGCTGCTTGAAAATCTGTGTTGAGGACTCTGAGGAAAGAGTGCTGGAATTAATTAGTAATATCTGCTATTTACTCCAGATGGAAGATGGCAGTTGTAGTAGATTGAAATTGTTTGCAATTATTACTGTTTGAAATTATTTTCTCCCTCTTTCTACGCCCATTTCCATGCAACTTGCATTGTCTTCTATAGAAGGAGTGTATGTCTCATTTCCTTGACTTTGGGCTTGGTCATGTTTCATGTTTTGGCGGATAGTTTGTGAACAGATGTGACTCATGCTATATTTGAGCACCTGAGTTTCCTCTTGTTCTCTGCCCCTAGGATGGGCATATTCCACATAAGGGTTGCTTCTTCTGCCTGGGGCCTGGGATGAGAAGAACTATATAAAGAGTGGCATCCTATATATACCTAAGTCAGGTTAAAGCTTTTGTTGTTGTAAGTGACTGAGATTTTGGGGTTTGTTATTATTGTAGCAAAGTTGACTAATAACCATACCTGAACAGTGGCAGATAAAGTTTGAAAGATTTAAGCCAGCGTGTAGAGAATCTTGAATACCAAGAGAAGCAGAGCCTGTTATGTATTTATTAGAACCTGTTTCTTTCTTGGACACATAGCTGGACCATATTTTTTAGTTTCTCCTTTAATTGACATTTTCCATTTTCTAGGTCTGGCCTATGAAACCTCCCAAGGGGAGATACTTCATGTTCTTTCTTTTCAGGCTTGACAGAGATGATCTTAAACTTGGTGACCTTCAAAAACACATGTTAAAAGTTAGTGGTGCGGCAGGGTAGGAGGAACCTGGTTCCCTGAATTACCACTTGGCAGGGAACTGCCCATTAATCAGGATCATGTATTTTGGACTTTGCTTGACCAATAAATCAGTTTCTATTTTGTTATACCACTAAAAATTTGGGGCTTTTTTTGTTGTTGTTTCTAGTGTTTTATTAATGTATTCATCAAGTTCAAAGGTTTGAACTTGATTCTTATTTGGAAAGGGAAGTTAGTCACTAATGATTTTTTGAACAAGGGGAATAAAACTGTGAAGACAGATGGAAGTTATGAGCATCAAAGAATACTTCTTTTTTTTTTTTTTTCATTTTTCTTTTATTATTCATATGTGCATACAAGGCTTGGTTCATTTCTCCCCCCTGCCCCCACCCCCTCCCTTACCACCCACTCCACCCCCTCCCGCTCCCCCCCCTCAATACCCAGCAGAAACTATTTTCCCCTTATCTCTAATTTTGTTGTAGAGAGAGTATAAGCATTAATAGGAAGGAACAAGGGGTTTTGCTGGTTGAGATAAGGATAGCTATACAGGGCATTGACTCACATTGATTTCCTGTGCGTGGGTGTTACCTTCTAGGTTAATTCTTTTTGATCTAACCTTTTCTCTAGTACCTGTACCCTTTTCCTATTGGCCTCAGTTGCTTTTAAGGTATCTGCTTTAGTTTCTCTGCATTAAGGGCAACAAATGCTAGCTAGTTTTTTAGGTGTCTTACCTATCCTCACCCCTCCCTTGTGTGCTCTGCTTTTATCATGTGCTCAAGTCCAATCCCCTTGTTGTGTTTGCCCTTGATCTAATGTCCACATATGAGGGAGAACATACGATTTTTGGTCTTTTGGGCCAGGCTAACCTCACTCAGAATGATGTTCTCCAGTTCCATCCATTTACCAGCGAATGATAACATTTCGTTCTTCTTCATGGCTGCATAAAATTCCATTGTGTATAGATACCACATTTTCTTAATCCATTCGTCAGTGCTGGGGCATCTTGGCTGTTTCCATAACTTGGCTATTGTGAATAGTGCCGCAATAAACATGGATGTGCAGGTGCCTCTGGAGTAACAGTCTTTTGGGTATATCCCCAAGAGTGGTATTGCTGGATCAAATGGTAGATCGATGTCCAGCTTTTTAAGTAGCCTCCAAATTTTTTTCCAGAGTGGTTGTACTAGTTACATTCCCACCAACAGTGTAAGAGGGTTCCTTTTTCCCCGCATCCTCGCCAACACCTGTTGTTGGTGGTGTTGCTGATGATGGCTATTCTAACAGGGGTGAGGTGGAATCTTAGTGTGGTTTTAATTTGCATTTCCTTTATTGCTAGAGATGGTGAGCATTTTTTCATGTGTTTTCTGGCCATTTGAATTTCTTCTTTTGAGAAAGTTCTGTTTAGTTCACATGCCCATTTCTTTATTGGTTCATTAGTTTTGGGAGAATTTAGTTTTTTAAGTTCCCTGTATATTCTGGTTATCAGTCCTTTGTCTGATGTATAATTGGCAAATATTTTCTCCCACTCTGTGGGTGTTCTCTTCAGTTTAGAGACCATTTCTTTTGATGAACAGAAGCTTTTTAGTTTTATGAGGTCCCATTTATCTATGCTATCTCTTAGTTGCTGTGCTGCTGGGGTTTCATTGAGAAAGTTCTTACCTATACCTACTAACTCCAGAGTATTTCCTACTCTTTCTTGTATCAACTTAAGAGTTTGGGGTCTGATATTAAGATCCTTGATCCATTTTGAGTTAATCTTGGTATAGGGTGATATACATGGATCTAGTTTCAGTTTTTTGCAGACTGCTAACCAGTTTTCCCAGCAGTTTTTGTTGAAGAGGCTGCTATTTCTCCATCGTATATTTTTAGCTCCTTTGTCAAAGATAAGTTGCTCATAGTTGTGTGGCTTCATATCTGGATCCTCTATTCTGTTCCACTGGTCTTCATGTCTGTTTTTGTGCCAGTACCATGCTGTTTTTATTGTTATTGCTTTGTAATATAGTTTGAAGTCAGGTATTGTGATACCTCCTGCATTGTTCTTTTGACTGAGTATTGCCTTGGCTATTCGTGGCCTCTTGTGTTTCCATATAAATTTCACAGTAGATTTTTCAATCTCTTTAATGAATGTCATTGGAATT